TGATTGTCTGTGTGGTGTGATTACGAGGTCGTATCTATTGTCGTTAATTAGACAATTGTGTATTATGATTGAATGTTTGTTTCCTAAATTGTCTCTTGACAAAAGTTTTAGGATGATGGGTGCAAAATCTGGATTAGTGATTCTAATGTCTTAAACTGTTAGTTCTTACAATTTTTTTTGGTTATCTTAACTTGGGTTGTATATTTGGGTTGGAGAGAAAAGCATATATCGATTCCTGAGAATGATTTGTACTTTCTCGTGACAAATTCTAAGCTAAGATAGACCTTACCTAATCTTACTGAGGGGTTGTGATTTGTGATCGAGGGTTCAGGTATTATTAGAACGCAATTAGTTCATTAGTTTCTGTTAATTCTGGGTTTTTAATAAGGGTTGGGTAGTGAATCGACGTTTGAGGTCGTTAGACACTAATTAAATTTGAGAGGGGGAGAACAAAATTGTTCTATTTGATCCAAGGATAGGCCTTGATGATCAGAGATTTAGATATTTAGAAATTAAAAAATAATCTAATTTAGTTTAAAGATCCAAGGAAAGCCTTGATGATCTGTTATTTTAAATGAAGTTAAATTAAGTGAAAGCAAGGGTAAGCCTTGATAGTTTAAAACTAAAGTGTTAAGGTTAAGTTTTATTTTTGATGATTGTTAGTTTTTGAAATTTGCTGTTATGTTTTAGGTGCTGAAGCTGGAATGAAGAGATGATTTATATATACCAACAATTTATGATTTATACTAACTAATTTTTGTATTTTTCTTTTCAATAAAAATTTTTCAAGATGTTATTTAATTTAGGCTGATTTAAGGAAAACGGCAATGTTGTTTTTATCAGTCGTTTTTGTACAATTATTAGGTTTAGAGCCATGAAAGGTCATTGAAGCAAATTCTTCAAAGTACTATGTCAGTGAATGAAAATTTAAATTTACTGCTGGTAGTATCCTAAATACAAAAGTTTGATCTCGTTTTTGTCGTACTATCATGAAATCGATTGGTAGATTTCTTCCTAACCGTATGTCGTCTCTTGTTCGACGTCTTCTTCCAACTTTGGGTAGTTCTCCTATTTTTCGGAATATTGGATCTGATCTATTGAGTCGTAGAGACATATCTCCTAAGTTTTTATCATATAACACTTTTTTAAAATGTTGTATTTGTCTAATTCTAATCTATTTTTGTCTAAGTCTAGGTTAGTTAAGGTCTGTTTGAGACTTTTGGTCGCACGAGATGAGTTTTGTATTGGTTACTATACTTCTAGAGTAATTTCAGATAAGGCACACCGTCTGCTCGTCACGCTATCATATTTTCGGCCGGATAGATTCGTGCCACTTTTTAGTCTAATACCAATGTTAATCTTACTCTTATATCTCCTAGTCTAAATATATCTAGTGTACAGCGGTTTACGCGAGATAGTTCCAGAATGAGAACAACTGTATTCTAAGTTAAATTGAAATTGTTCTGGTGTTGAAACTAAAAGTAGTTTCAACACTTACAAATAAATAGGTTGTTAGTTTGATGGAGTATGATTGGTTAGTATTTAATATTTTATAGAGATAAATTATCATAATAATAACCAATGATAAATACCAGTTTAGATCTGGTTACAAATTCTTGGCCCTAATTTTCAATTTTCCAACAAAAAGAGACAAACTTCTTGATCATATTATTTACAGAAAAAGATGTCAAGTACATGTGTTTTCCCAAAATGAGCAGTATAACTAAGATCGAATGTCAGACTGGAAAATTAGAGTTTAGCGTATGAAATATATCTTGATAATAAGGTTAAAACCATTTTGACTGAAAAAATTAGTATTAATTTTTGAAGCGTTAAAATAGGAGGGTTGGGTTCAGGGGCGGATCTAGGATTTTCTCGAGGGGGGCGGATTTTCAAAAAATTTTCGAAAATTTTGACGACCTTTTTTTTAGGTCGACCAAATTGATTTTTCCGAGCTCTCCTAAAGCACTAAAAAGACGCTGTTTTTGCCAAATTTTCTGAGCCGCAGGCAGTTTTTTGAAAAAAACAGGTAAGAAAAGCCGTTTTTGGGCACTTTTTGAAAAATGTTGACAAAAAATCGTGTTTTTTTTTGGCGCGCGCTCCCCCTCAAAAATAGTATATAATGGCGCCAAAGACGTCCTTAAAAAAATTTTAGGGTCGGTCAGCCGAAAATGGATTTCTTAAAAAGTACCAAAGGGACCCCCCTAAATCCGCCCCTGGTTGGATTTGTCTTACAGTGTTCTATGATTCATTCACGAATCCGCAACCGCCTGATGACACGTTGATCAGTAGTCCACACTGATTGTCCAGTAGAATTTCCAGCCAACACACGGGTTAGTAATCCCAACACACTGGGCGGTTGCCCCTACACACTGGGTAGACGTCCCATCACAGCAATTAGTCGGTCCAACACGCTCGGTGGAAATATTAACGCACTAGATCCTTGAACCCAAAAGCTGGTATTGCAAGCACTCCCCGTTTGAATGACAACCCCAAGAGCCTTCTAAAACGGCCTCCAATTTTTTTGATTTTGTTTTACTAGTCGAAACCCCGGTTAAAAATATTAATGTAATTGCTTCGCACTTTAACTTCAGTTACCTAAAAAATCGGTTTTTGACGGGTAAACTTCATTTTCCCCTACCACCGCGTCAGCTTCAACTTTCTGAAACAGTCTTCGCTGCGTTAAATCCAGCTTTCTGAATCGACGCGTTGGCTTCAGGTTCTTTAATTATTTTTTTTGAGGCGTTGACTTTAACTTTCCTAATTGAGACGTTGCCAGCTTCCCGAAAAATTGTCTTCAAAGACTTTTAGTTGCGTTGAAATGTCTCCGGTCGGCTCGTAACCACTTGTGCAGCTGAAAAAAGTACGGTAGCTGAATATCCAAAACGGTATTTACTTGTTGTTCCGACTTTCGATACGAAAGTAACGGAATATTTGTGCTCGGGGTGGGTTTTTTTTTTTCTTCAGACAAATTTCGACTTTTTAACTAGCCATTTTTGACGGAATTTTTTTATATCATTCAAAAGGTATTGTTGTCCTGAGCTTAACTTTGAAAAGATATTTCACCTGTGATTATTTTTCCTAAAAATATGGGGGTTTAAAGATTGTCATTTTGGCCAATTTGGGACAATTAACGCGCGATATATTTCGCGCTATTAACGCGTAAGCGGATATTTAATCTGTCATAGAAATCGTTCCAAATTGGTTGAAAGAAGTTTATTTGTCAATATTGATTTGTTAAAAGGAGCAAAATCTATCCTTTTGTAGTTTACATGGCGTGTGGGGGGATAATTTTCACAACAAATGTCAAATTTTGGAGAAAAAAATGGTTTCATTTTGTTTTATAACATTTAATTTTTTTAATGTTACTACTGGTCCATAAACCTTAAAAGGCAGTCGGAACATTCAGGGCTTCGCCCTGATACGAGCAGTTTTGTTTGTTTTATAAATTCAATAAAATTTCAATTTTGAACATCACCGAGGCTTAAAGCGTTCGTCAGTTTCGCACGTAATGTCATGTCAAAAGATGACGACAGTCAAGCGCCGGTCAATCAAAAGCCCATCAATCAAATTGAAAGAGCAAAGGCTTTAAAGATTTTTTAAAGATCGTCATATTCAATTCATAAAATTGATTCTTGAAAGAAACTATCTTGGTGAGAATCGAACCCGCGCCAAATTAAATTGGCTTTCTTTGTTCTAGAAAAATCTAACTGTTAGCTTGATAATATTCCCGGGTTGACCTCCATACACCGAAAATGGTTATCATACAATTTTCATACAATTTCTAAAAATGGTTGAAAACTGGTATAAACTTATTTCTGTGGATGTTTGATTCTTATAAAACAGTCTGGTGATAAAAAACTGAGGTTCTCGTTTTTTTGAAAAAAATGCTTATCATACAATTCCCATATATGGGAATTGTATGACTGGCATTTTTTTGATGGCGACACAAAAAATTTTTCAAGTAATTTTGAAAACTTGGCCCAAAAAAATGTTTGTTTTTTTTTCAACCGCAAATCAAATTTCGTACGCAAACAAACATTTTTCGAAATTTTTTTTTTGCATGCAAGATTTAATATTTTGTGTGCATAACGTAGTCCTGGGTACGATAAAATTGGCTTTTATTTTCTTTTCACTTAATTTTTTTTTTCAAAAACGCTGAAAATTCCTATTTCTTTTGTATGAGGTGTTAATGTAAGCCTCGATCAATGTCTGATAACTTGAAAATTCAAAAATTTAAAATAATCATCATTAATAAATTTTGCCAAAAAATAAAAGTTCGTTACTTTTGTTATATCAATTGTGAAAAACATCTAAATTCAGGTCGTTTGCTATGCATTGTAAATGCAAGACCGTCTAACCTTTGGTGTTTTGAGTAACCAAGGTCTTTGTGACTTGTGTTCGGTTGCAACCACAACCGAAAATTTTTCAGAAACTAAATTTAGAAAGAAAAAATCAAAAATTTTAGTTTATGGAAAAACACCTATCATACATTTTTCATATATGGAAAAATGTTTATCATAGAGATTTCATACAATGTTCTGTACGTATGGCATTGTATGGAATTGTATGACAAGAAGTTTTTCATAAATGGAAATTGTATGATTAGAAGTTTTGGTCAACCCGGGTTATTGACATCTTTTTCTTCCTTCGTCTAACAAAAAACATATTTTAATGACACTTTTGGCGCCTACAATGGCGCCAATTTTGACCAATGCGCGCTGAAAAAAAATCTATTAGTGGTCCGAAAAATCCATGGTTTCGGCAAAGCTCGATTATCTGAAATGGTTGAACTATAAAATGTCAATGAATCATGTCAAAAAAAACCCGAGCACTTAACTGTGTGCTGTTTAATCCTATGCCTAGATAAGACATTTGTAACCATTAATTCAACGTTTATTTTTTGTCATATAATACGCAGGTGCAGATTAATCATTGGAGCGTGTTTCTGATTACGCAAATTTTAGATGCTTATATATATATTTTGTCTACAACACTACACAGCAATCAAACCATCTATATACTTGCGCTGTTTTACGAGCATCTTTTGTTATTAGGACCTGATAATGACCATGCGTTTCATCAACATCAGTTGTTCAGATCACTATTATTGCCATTAATTGTTATGGATTCGAAATTCATAAAATACAATAAAAAACATATCATGAAACAAAACAAAACCAAATTATTTTGATAACTTCACAAAGATTGACAGAAAAACTTCAAAATGGCAGAGTTACCAGCTTTAAGCCGACATCATAACAGTGAATCTTTCCCCCCTTTTGGTCATTTCGAACTTCCAACAAGGGTAACACCGAGAAGGGCAGAAGACAACTCATCAATTAGCCGACTGCCGGCTATATCGAATCAAAGCAGACTCAACTTACCACCTCAACAACCACCTCAGCCCGAGAGGGAAAATAAATGGATGAAAAGACGTGAACAGACAAAACCCGACTTCTTTCAGACTCTTGACGTCATCAAACCGAACTCACGCGAACAGACACGAACTCCAAATTCTAGCCAATCACAGAGATCAAACGAAAAACCCGAAACTTTTTTTGTACCGTTAACGCCTAAAAGAAGTTTAGAGCCAAAAGTTAGAGAGAAAAAAGATTACGAACCAAAATTCCAGCGTGAAAAAAGTCCCTTTAGGGAAGTTACGAATCTACGCGAAGATTTTTTGGCGAATAAACGAAAGTCGGAGTTTCGAAACTCGAAAGGTGGTTCAGTTTACTTCGTCCCGTTGTCTCCCGGAGAACCTGAGCAATCAGCTCGAAGATCAAAACATCATCAAAATGAGCCCCTTTTGAAAACAGAAGATTTAAGTTATTCCAAGAACTTGAGATCAAACCAGGAAAGGGTCAATTTCTATCAATGCTCAAGGCGACCTTTAAGCTCACGACACAATAGAATGAACAAAAGCATGAATTAAACATTCACTATTTGCTTTAGCGCCATTGTGGGATAACCTTGAGGTGGGGAAAGCACTAAAAAATTCTTTTTTATTTAGTTGAAAGCTTCCTATAAGTGCTTAAAATGGTAAGCTCTAAGGTACCTTTAAGCTCTCTTTGAAGAACAAAAACTCATTAAAATCTTGTGCCAAAATACCGTTTTAAGCACCTAAAGGAAGACTTCAACTAAAATAAAAAAAAATCTTTTTGTGCTTTCCCCGCCTCAGGGTTAACCCATAATGGCGCTAAAGCAATAAAAAAATGTTTAATTCATGCAACTGCTAGTAGTATCAAAAATAAGCAAATGTTTGTAAAATGATGGGAGCTTTAGAAAATGTATAAGCTAACATATAAATTGGCCCTCTGTCTGAATTGTTAGGAAAAGTTGCGAGTGTTGGACAAAATAGAGAACTGTTTCTTCTGTGGCAAAGCAGTCAATATTTGCAACAGGGACTTCCACAACGAGGCCAAGTGCAAGAGAATAGTAAGGGAGAAAACATTCACCATTCGGAAGAGCAACAGGACCTCATGGGACAACCCTCTTGGCAAGACAACTTATATGGGGTACGTGTCATGATTTTTTAAATGCACTCGTTTTTTTGTAGTAGCTTATAGGTTGTGTTAATTCAAGTTAGTTTGATACCATTTAGCCATTTATCCTCGAGGAAAAATACCAACATAAAAAGCTGTTCAGTTCAATGAAGCGGCAGTTGAGGCTTCACTCGGCAGGCTAAACACCTTTGACGTTCTCGCAAGTGTATTTGGTTGAATATATTTATTTATTAGGAGAACGAAACCTATGCCCGTGATTAGGACTATATCCAGTTTTCCAGCAGAGAGTTTTTGAATGACCCATTTTTTTAGCATAGGCTAGTACGGCTGGAGAGAACGGGCTTAACTACCTTGTTTTTTGATTAAAAAAGAAGCAAAACCGCCAAGAACAGCTACTAAACCAAAGGCAGGTAGTGACAGGGATTTCATAAACATTGTGTACGGAATCCACAAGTTTTGCACCAAAATCGGCACAAACTTGAAAAAATCAAAAGTACCCTGAAATTTAGAGTAAAAAGTTTAGCTAAACATTAGCCGTGAAAAGTTTGCAATGACTACCTGGATTATATTTGCAGAGCGAATCAGCAAGTTTACAGCCATGCTTCGAAAACCAGAACTGTAACATAGATCAGATATAGATCTTGTAAGAGCACCGATGAGCTAGAGTGTTAAAATGATTCAGCTTAAAATCAGCGAAAAAAAATTTGCAATTTTTGTTTTTCACTTGCAAATATACCCTGTTATATATTTATACGCTACTCTGAGATTAGCAATATATTTTAGTCTATCGGATTTTTTAATAGCGTACATCATGTGGTAGAAATAACATAGGGCTACATCGGGAGCGGTGGGTAAATGGTTTGAATCTGGATTGGTACTGTTTTTGCTTGACTGTTTTTCACTGACATTGCGCTGATCAAAACTATCAAAGTCCGGAAACAGAACTGAATTAGTACCGAGCATTCCTACGATTTGTTTTTCTGAATTCATTTTTGGTCAGAGCTTGCAGAGCTGTTACACTAATACTGACTTTCTGTTTTTCTGCTGTTGACTACTGAAACAAAAATTAACTGGAAGAACAATTAACGGATAACGGATATCTGAAAAGAACAACTGGAAGAATAAAGGATAAAAAATTTTTGTCGGCTTTTTCTGCAAGCATCATTCGCTGTTTGATTACATGAATAAGAGCCTCTAAAGATTAAGATTAAGACCATTTATCCACGGTGAAAAGCAACCCTATTTGAAATCAGAAGCACGGTGTGACACGCTTTTTTGCTTTATAAAACGGAGCTTGGCGATGAAAAGATTTTTCGGAAAAGTCTAAGTGAAATACTATTTCTCGAAGCTTAAATTGATTAATTGATTTTAAAATCCTCTGGTTAAATTATTCTGAAAAAACTCATTTGATTAAAAATCTTTATGCAGCTTTCTAAAATTCTTTAAGATTCTTCTACAGATTTTTAGAATTTGGCCGGATTATTGTTAAACAATTTTCAAACTAGACTCATCAATTTCACCGCCAAGAAAGCTCCCAAGAAAATGACGATAAACTTCGGCTTTTTTTAGTCACGTCTAAATGAGATTTAAATGAACAAAAAATGTTTCAGCTCTCCATGGCAAAACACACTTCCCGACCGAGTATCACAATCATACCAATATCATCACCCAAATCAAGACTTCATCAGAACTGCCACAAGCCTCGAAGACATCCGACTACAAAACCCGACTCCGAATGGAACCTCAGACAAAAACGGCGGCGATTTCTGTAAACATTGTGCCAAACCGGTAACAAGATGGACCGTTCACTACCATAACAGTAAATTATGTCACCAAAATGAAATGGCGCGCGAAAAAACGATGATGATTCTCCGAAATCCGGAAACAAACCGCGGTGACATTTCGTCAAATTTCGACAATGGTACCGAGTTATTGAATCAATGGTGCCCAGAAGGCGTCAAAAACAGTCTAGAATTAGACAGTTTGAAAAACTTAATGCAGCCTCCTATTTTGAAGTATGGTAAAGATTGTCCACTTTGTGGAAAGTGGTTTGGAAGTAAATCTCTACCAATTCATCAAGCTAGTTGTAGAAAAAAACCGCATCTGAGTTTCTTCTAAGCTATGTCTATCCAAAATTGTGATTTATAGTTTGCTATTTATTATTCATCTTTCGTTGTCACTATTTCTGGATGGCTGAAATAAAAAAAGTTTCAATGTTCTATTAAATGCAATGGGCTACAAGTCAAATAAAACTTTATTTCCAAGTGTTAAACAAGTTGATGCGCAAAAGTAAGAGAAAGTTCCGATTACACTGACTAAAGAAAAGGTAAGTAAAAATAAGAAACAAATCTAAGCAAAATTTTATAAAAAAATTCGAATAAGTTCTACTGATTTAGATAAAAATACTAATCAAAACAACACGTTAGAACTGTAGTAATAAAATATGGTTAAATTTATAATAAGAAGGTCAGTTTTTTGATTTTCAGACAAATTTTCCATAACACAGACTTTTTATTCATGATTATTTTTTGCAATGCAAAATACAATTGAAAAGGGGTTAAATTTATACTACAAATCACCCAATGAAAACCTTTTAAACGTTTTTGGTAAATTACTTATATTGTTCCTTCTTACTTTGAGAAGCAGTCGGAAAAAAAAGCACTGCAAATGTATGTTTTGCAAAAAAAAAGTGCTGAGAAAGGTGAACCGACCAAATTGAATTTTCGAGGTCTCTACAAACATTTGAAAAAGCTAGGGGAGTGGGGGATATCTGGTCTACAACCTATTTGTTGAGATAGGAAATCACATTTCTAATCTATCATGAAAAAAATGAATTTTCTCATATAGTAAGCTTCATGATGTTTTAACATACCATTTTTAAGTTGAAAAACGCGTTGCTACAACACATATAAAAGATAGGGAAGAGACCTGGCTTCAGGAAGATCAAATTTTGGATGGAAAAATTCAGACTTAATTTTTGAGAAGTACTTTCTCTTCATGTTTAGAGAATAAGAAATTTTGAACTAAAATATGTAGTATGCTTGGCGTTTACAACAATTATATGCATCAAGGATTGATATGCGGGTAAACTAAAAACAATACTGCGCAAATATGGGCGAAGCCTTGAATGTTCTGACTGCCTTTTAAGGTCTATGGAGCAGTAATAACCTGAAAAAATTGAACGTTTTTTTTTAAAATTGGGAATTTTTGTGAAAATCATCCCCCCACACACCATATAAGTACGCAGTGATAGATTTCGCTGCTGGTAACACTTATTTTTGGCTATTAAACCTCCTTAAACCAATTTGAAACGAATTCTAAGACAGATTAAATCTCGGCTCACGCGTTAATAACTCGAAATATGTCTCAAACTTGGAAGCCCATAACTTTACGAAAAACGATGAGAGTTGAGAAACGTTTTCAAATTTAGGCTCCACGCAACAATACCTTTCGAACGATTTTTTAAAACGTGCAGCCAAAATAGCTAGTTATTGACTCGAAATTTGTCTGACGAAAACAAACCACATTACGAGGCCAAACTGTGCATTCTGTGTATTGTAAGCGGAATTAGCAACAGTCCAAAATCAGATTTGTCGTGGAATCCGCAACATTGATATTTTTCATTGATCTTTTTTGCTATTTTGGTTACCAAAAACATTTTACTTCTCAAACTCGCTCCAAAAATAGGCGAATTTGCGGAATCTGCGACTGTATTTACGGAATCCAGAACAGTAGGTGGAATCTACAAATAAATGATAAGATTTTTGTATCGTTAAACTGAGCTGTTGCGAAATCCACAATTGTAATAGGAATCCACAAAAGAAAAATGGAATCTGCAAATTGTAAGTGGAATCAGCAAACTATGAGTAGAATCCGCACTTTGTTTGCAGATGCAATTTACATGTAGGTTTATTTGTGGTATCGTTTTAGTTTATATATTTTATTTACTAAAAGATCACCAGCAAGTTCAATCTCAATTACTAAGTTGATCAGCTACCAGTTGAAATATCTGTCAATGTCATTTCCTGTAGCCCAACTTCGATCTGAATTCATGTAAACCAACTACGATCTCAATTTCTGTCAAACATACTAAATTTCGATCCCAATTCCTGCCAACCCAATGCTGATTTCAATTCCTGCGATCAATCTCAAAATGTGCAAAATGAACAAACTAAACAAACTATGAAGTAATTTGGCATCTAAAATCATCAGTTCATTTCAATCTTTTAATTCAATTAAAATAAAAATATTTTAGTTTAGGCTTTTTCGCCTTTTTTCAAATTGCGAACATATAGTTTGTAAAAGCAAAAACTTCAGGAACATTTTTTTCGTTTTCAAAATTATTATTTATTTCAGCTGTAAAAGTTCAAGTTTTGCTTTTTTTTATATAAAACAGATTTACTCAAATTAGTTTCTTTCAATAGATGATTTACTCCCTATGAGAAAATCACACCAAATAGATAATTTACTCCGTATGAGCATCTTTGACGGCCCGGCATAATTTTGAGACCAAAACACATACTGCATACAGTAAAAAGAGTAGGGCAAATTACGTTTAATTTAAAGAGCTCAAATAATAACATGCAGTCATAGCATTAAACTGTATGAATATTTCAAGTTGTTCATTACAAGTCATAAGAAAATCTTGGGCGCAATCCGCCATAATATGTCTAAATACTTCTCGGTATTTATTCTCGACGGCATATCTACCACATCGTCCAGCTCACGTTCTTTTTCTGCTGGCAACAAATCCCATTTTCCCCAAGCACAGAACCCCAAGATTGATGGCATCCAAAAAGTTCTGACGTTATACTGCCCAAAACTTTAGTAGCACACCGTGTGGATGATTAACCAATGGGCTTTCTGGTTACTGGTGACGCATCTTTTTTTTGCCATAAAAATCGCAAAATTTGGCTAATTTGGCAGATTTCAGATAATTTTGTTCTAAGACCAAGCACAAAAGAGTAAATTATATATTGTTTTTGGAAATAAATCGAAATTGTAACAAACAGCCAAAAACCAAAAAATTTTCACGAGCAAGCTATGTCATAACAGAAGGCATTCTCAGGGCGACACCCGCATTTTCGATAGAACTCCTTCCAGCAAATGCTCGTTTTATCATTCAATCGAGTAACAAATAATCAAAACGGAACAATTCTCCGGCGCGCAAGATAGTCGATCCTAGCTATAATCACAAATTAGAATACGGTGTATAATGAAAATACGGTAAATTTTAATATCTATAAAATTAAAAATCAGTTGCATCTAGAAAAGCAGTATATTTTTTCAGGTTATCAGATGAAATTGGTGATCTTATACAGGTTATCAGGTTAGTTGGTTGTGATTAATTAGTGGATTAGTTACACATTTGGTTAGTTACATGATAAACTTACCTGAATTACAGCATTGATGCATGGAGCAAATTTCAAGGGGATGTCACTTTCTGGCAACTCAAAATGATCAAGGCGACCTCAAAATATCTTCATGCGATTTTTCACCCTTGTTTTTTGGCCTTGAGCTCTGAGGATTTTTGACGGTTCTAGGTTTCTCAGCATCCTTAATCATGAATTTTATGAAATTGTATGGCAGTGAATCTTCGACTCGTTTCCTTGAATCATCTTGTGACTCGTTTCCCAAATCAGAGTGCTTAACGTATAAACGGCCAATTCCACTGCCTGATGGTCCATTCCCCGCAAAATTCTGAAGTTTGTCGACGAAACGAACTGTGCACTGGTACACGAAAGGGTCAATCTCTTTTTTTTTGACACTCCCAGCACGTTGAAAAAAAATTATCGAAACCCTGTGCAGCCGTTTGAGGTTGAACGATAGCTTCTGCTTTCTCGAATTCCGCCTATTGCTGATGACACAAGCATCATTGTGTTCTTAGAATTTTCTTAAGCCAAGCTGCTGCGTTTTCTTTTCTGTCTTCTGGAACGTTAAACATGGCACTTCCCGGCCAATCAGACCGCTTAATTTTTACGCAGAAAACGCTGTTTAATGAAAAAATTACAGCACTTTCCTAGATGGAAGTGACGGCATCGAGAGTTTGTACTTTTTGCTTTGCCCAAAATTTCTACTTTGCATGATGACATGTATGAAAGACTCTAATATGACTGAACTGAGGAGCGATTGAATGGTTGAAATCAAATGAGTTTACTTCAAGAATTGACTAATGGCAACTTCTTTGATACAGGACTAATGCGTCCCTGATAATGAAGGTTTTAATCATAGGATTTGCACTGTCTGGTTCCGCTTATCAGTGAAGCCGTCATTATCAATCAGCCGTCTTATCTTTAAGCAGTCGTAATGTATATATGCATATATGTGCTAGAAAGAGTGGAAAGTGTCGAAGCTATTCCTTGGTGGACTCTTATCTTGTTCCACCTCTTATCTTGACCTGGTGCTTAGATTAAAATGGTGCTGATAAGTGATGGGAGCTTGGTCGCAAAGTTGGAACCAGTTCCTCCTCATTTTGTGCTCAATATTAGTTGCATCTCTCATTTTTCACCCGAATCTAATAAAAACTTAAGTAATCAAGTAAAATGTCAAATGCTGAAAGCTCATGTCAAGTTCCTTCCAGTTTCTCCATCACCATTTGCAGTGCCTTCCAACATCCCTGTGCCTCCGTCACCACTCGCAGCACCAGAGACAACATCGTTTTCTCCTCCGACACCGGTAACCCCTTTGCGAGCGCCCCCGCGACCTTTCGCCCCGCCAATTTCGCCGACATATGGCCAACCATATATCCCTCTGCGACTTGTCCATTCAGGCCCCTCGATGGATGGTACATCAGTTCCAGCCTCAGCAATATCAGCCATATCCAGCCTACCTAGGTTTCTATATGTCAGCATCAGCTTATCTGACTTATCTATGGCTATCTTCGTTTCCTCGAGAAAAGGAAAAATGACCGCATGTCCATGAGAGGCGAACCCACTTTCGCACGGAACCACGAGCCGATGATCCCACGGAACCACGAGACCACAGGAATGACGAGCACTCATGAAGCCGCAAAAGAGATCATGCAGAGCCAGAGAAGGAAGGCGAAACTTCTAGTAGAAGAAATAACTGTAAAAGCAAGCACATTATACAATCACAAAAACTTTTGTTAAACTAGATATCGACACGAAATTATATTAATTTTAGCAACCTGGAAAAGTCTCCCGAGCCGGAAACGCGATAATAAACGAGACTCTCAAAACAATCATTTTACAGACTGTC